AAGGCCTGACCCGTTACGTAAGGGGTAAAAGAATCTTGAGGTCATGGGGCTTCCCCTGACCTAGATTCTATCTCTCCGTCACCGGCAGAATCGCTGATTAATGCCTACAGTTCAAAATAGTCATTTTGACTGACCGGAGTCTATGGTGGGTAATTGAACGTAGTGAATTTGAATTTACTGTCTACATGTACGACCACAAGTAATTTGACACACACAGCTATTAGGTAAGGCAACTAGAAACAATTCACTGTCCATGAAAACAAACCGTTTGGTCTTTCTTAAAACTCATTAGCTGTTTGCTGACTAAATACATTTGTTTGAAATATGGTAAATGAAAATGTTTTTGCTATAGATTTGAATTTCATCTTGGCAATGCTTGGATTTCGTTGTTTTTCTTGTGTATCGCTTGCAGACTACTTGAGAAATATGTGAACAACTACACAAATGAAAACATGTGGGAACAGTGACTCAAATGGCATTTTATGCTTATGACAGTGAGCCCCAAAAATGTCAGTATTGTTGACTAATACTGAAACAGTTAATTTGCATCGGATTTTGACAGAATATATTGTCACCGCTTTAATATATATGCGCATTCCACCTTTTTTCTTTTTATTTAATAGTGTATCAATTGTGAAGAGGAAGCTATGTACCACTGCTGTTGGAATACTTCATATTGCAGTATAAACTGTCAACAAGTACATTGGCACAAGGAACACAAGAAATTATGTCGACGAAAGAGATGAACTCAAAAAGGAAGTGACATCACATATTAAAATTGGAGGTCAAAGCTCAAAGGGCAGATTTGCCTTGAGGCAACATTGCTGTCATTATTTATTTCATTGTTTAATATGTCTGTTTTTAATATGTAGAAATAAGCTTCTGATGTTTTAAAAATAGAGGGTATCTTGTATGATGTATTTGAGTGTTGATTGAAGAGGTATTCAAGTGCCCTTCGAACTTTGACCCCTTCTGGGACCATGCTGAATAAGGTTGTAAAGATAATTTTGCATAGATTGTTTTCTTTTTCATATTTTATTTGTTTTTAAAATCTGTCTTTCTCTACGTTTTGCTCTATAATTAAAATGTTATTACTCCAGATAATATAAGAAAAGACAAGCTTTGTTCGGCTATTATTCTTGTTTGTCCGGCCGTGATTCTTGTTTGTGTTGTTTTCTGCAGTTGGCTGTGGATACAAACATCATATTTTTTGTTATTTATTTATATTTAAATTATATAGAGACAATAGAACACAGGTTTACCTGATTTTTTTTGCAATTTTATAGCATTTTTTTAGAATGTACATCATATCTCGTTTCTGTTTGGATATATTTGTAACCAAATACTTCCATATTCGGTAGACTAGTCTCTTGACACATGGTGCATGCAAGATAGTAACATTTGCTATATTAAATACAATTTTCTTTCATGGTTTGCCTGGTAATACATGTATCTTTGAGTCTAAGTATGGGCAGTTGAGACAGGAATTGTTGTATCTAAATCATGTGACTATTGATAACCTCTTTCAAGAACATTTTTGTTTTTAGACTGTACATTTAACATTTACATTGTACAGGCAATGCAAGAGAAATCAATACAACTGGAAAACCAATATTAAGAGTTGTAATATGTAATCTTGGAAGTGCTGGATAAATGATGTTGTTTTTATTATAGAGGTGCATGGTGTCTTGTGTTTTACATCCTTTGAATTAAATAAAAATACGTTTCATGTTTTACTGCCAATGATTCCTGACTGTGATTTAAAACAAAGTGCCTTGTACTCGGGCAGTTGAGACAGGTGTTGAAACATTCTTTCATTGGCAGTATCGAATATTTATTTTGCTGAGGTTTTGACATCTTTTATACATTTTAAAAAAAGTGCAACACAGCCATAACCAAAAAGTTAGCATTCCGTAACGGAAAATTACTGTAAAACCATCGTTTCTATGAAATTAGTTTAAAAAAAAATCATGGACAAATTACCTTTATTTTGTAACAGACAAATTTGTTTGTTTTTTTAAATCCTTGGCAATGGTTTTGTCACTGGGAGTTGCTAATTTGTCAAATCAATAAGAGTTCTTGTTCATGTCTCGGGAGTTGAGTAACATAAGTACTTTTGGGGTTTTGGTATGCTCACAAATATTTTTTCATTTTTCACTGGTGAACTATTTATAATACTGTAAAATGACTAATTTTCAGTGGGTTTAAATTTCGCTGATTTACCATTTCAGGCATATTCAGTGGGTTTTTAAATTCACGGTGTCATCATTTAGATAATGTGTTCTATGCTAAATTTTACATATTCACTGGGTTTTAATTTAGCGCATTTTCCAGTCAGCGAAATAAGCAAAATTAAAACCCAGTGAATAATTAACCCCTTTACAGTAAATAAAACAAATTTATCCCGCCTTTTTTCTCTCCTCATCAAATCTGTAAACCAGAATGCAGGTTTGTATATTATTGTTATATCTTATATTCGGTGCTGATACTGTACATTCCATTTCATTTTATCTGCCAAGGGTCAATTATAGCTGGTTTGGGGTAAAAAAAATGTTAAATTTTATGCCAGGCTCCAATTCTGAAATTAAGATTTTCTATTTATAAAACATAATTTCTGACTGCATAATTTTTTAATAATATAGACTATTTTAAATATAGAATATGGAAATGTGTGTAACTTGTTGAAAATTGGTCATGTGAATCAACGATAATGCTTTAAAAGTCTAGGTAATTCACTGCTAGATCATTTATTCCTGCGTGTCTACTATTTGATAAGTATCTCTTCATTAAATTTGTAAAACAGCATAATTCTGTATAGTACGCTATTGGTTTGCTGTTGATAGTGTCAAATTGAACTCACTGAAGGTAACTCATCCTGGTAATTTCTGGAGTAGGGGGGGTGGGGGGAGGGTCTCCAAAAAGATTTTGCAAATGAAGCTCAAAATGGTCTAACATGGCCAAGAGTTGAGTATAATGGATATTATTGCTGTTATAGGCCAAAAATACTCCATAAATTCCAGGATGTGACATTGAAAGACATGAAAAGTGTTGAATGTGTGAACTTGTGGGGTCATGCAAATTTCCAGGATGTGTGACCTTATGGGGTCATGCATAGTGCCAGGATGTGCGACCTTATGGGGTCATGCAAAGTGACAGGGTGTGTGACCTTATGGGGCTCATGCAAATTGCCAGGATGTTTGACCTTATGGGAGGGTC